GTAAATAAGAAATCCAACTGCACTCAAAAGAAAAGCAGATGCTGACTGAATCCAACCCAACCGTTAACCATGTTTATGGTTTGCATAAATGCAGGCCAAGGATTTGCAAACAGCTATTTTTTTAGTTGTGCATCACTTTCGCTTCGTGGATTTGGTTTTCTTTTTGCAGTCAAGGTGTCTTCGACTCCCATCGTCCAAAAGCACGTCAAAGTCAGTTGGACAGCCATTACTCGGACTAAAATGCAGAGCGCTTACACTACCCAATGAGCCGGGAGTCTCAAAATCTGACATCTCAAGGTCACCACCTTCCATTCCACCGAGGTCCAACAGTTCTGAATCAGGATGTATGCACTGCTTGTTCTCGTACACCAAAGTGCGCGTACTTCCGCCATCTGTAAAGTAAGTTTTTTTCCTATTTCCACCTACTCATTATTTCTCACAAGTTGCAGCTTCAAGGGAATACTAATTTACTTACGTCGACTATTGTAGCTATCACTGAATTTAGCTTCCATAAGTTGGATTTTTGGATCAAAATCCATGAGGCTTCCATGGCATGTTTGAGTGAAACTCTGGTTATACGATGAAAAATTCATTGAAGTCGCTCTCGTCCCTGTAAATAGTCGTGTGTTTTTCTTTTCTAACGATGCAAAATCACTTGCTGCTAAATGACTAGCTTTGACGGTAAGGTCTTTCTTCTTTCCTGGACCATTAATCCTTGGATGAAACATTCACTCCTACGGTCAGGATCAGTATAAGTTATTATTTTAATTAATAAAACTTCTAAGCCACTTTTGTTTAAGATAAGGAAAATGCTGTCTGTGGCAAGAGCATGAACCAAGAGGTAGATTTATTTTGTATTGTTTTTTCACTCATTACCTGTTCATTTAAAGGATGGCTCGGAAATTTACCCAACTACAAATGATGTGGGATAACAATAACATTAGGAGAATTTCAGCTTTATGTGTCAACAAAATTAGCAGTGGCCAGTTTTGAAATGTTATTACATTTGCTGTCAAAAAAAGCACTTAAAAGCATGGGCAAATGCACGCAATCAGACAACCAAATATACACCCAATAGTAGACAAGTTCACCCTACATTTAGCCGTATTACATTCTCAGGGCAGACCAGTCAGTGCAAAATCTATAAAACGAATATTTTTCAAAGTTTGTAACTTTTAATGCAGCGTCGCATGTTGGCGTTTCTTTTAATTTTGCATTAAAATCATCCCAGTTATTAGCTCAAAGTTGCCCTTATCACCGGCTGGGAATCCGTTCTTGCTTTTCCTTCTTAAAATTTAGTGGACCAATTGCTTCACCATAAGCCCTCCTATCTCCGCGATATTTGGTAGTCATGAGGCAGAAATTTTTTTAAAATTATGCGAATTGTTTTATGTTACTCCTCTGGCTGATTTATTCTCCGATTTGAACGCAGAATACTCTGAGAGCTCCCAGATCCCATTGCTATGTACCCCTGGAGGTCAGCTGCTGCAATGTTGCATTTGGCTGGTGACAAATCGCGTTAAAGATAAGGTGATTTTGGAACCACCGGCTTGACAATGCCATTACTTTGATTTAACACACTCTTTAGGTGATACTTGCCACACCCTACGAACCGACTGTACCCAAACTGTGCAAGATTTTTTGATTAATGATTTGCCGCCATGCACTGCTTCACATAAAGACTCTTTTTTCTCGAATCGATGCGGTAGCCACCTTCGTCTCTTAACGATAGCAAATTCGGGTCAAATGGAATGGAATAGACTCGCGTGGGTGGAACCGTTGGACCACGTGTGCTCCAGTCACCGTAATTGATGTCAAAATTTACGCTTTTAACCGCCGTTTAATGCAGTCTACAGCAAGCGCTTCGACTGCAGTAAAAATAAAAGATGAGATTTATTTTCGTTAGCCTATAAACAGCAAATTTATTTGACCATCGCCTAAAAAGCATCTGAGACTTGAGAGCTGCCGGATAATGCACTGGAAAATGCTAAAATACCCGGTTTAGTGGATGGATGAGGGACAAGCAACAACTTGAAATGCCCTTCACGATACCACATAAGCGAAGTATAATGGCTTATCAGCATGTGCAAGGAAATACGTATCGTTGCGGTGACGTAGGAGTGCCCTCGTTCTCTTATGTTAGAGGCTGTATTTTAAAGCCTTAATT